TACTCTCCCTATCATCTGCCTGTGAAACTGAACCTCTAACTTACTGCTCACCTCTGTTTTCAGCACTTTCTAAATTCTGATGCAAGTCAAGTAAGTTTTCTAATCTAAACAAAGCAGAAATTAGTCCTGGATCATCCCCCTAACAAGCCAGAATGTTGGATACATGGTCTACTTTTGTTTCCATACTAATGAAGGAAAAGGAATAAGGGGGAGTTTCTCCCAGTCGTTGCATGGTATGTCACATAGGCAGATGGGCATGAACAGTACTGCAAAACAACATGAATTTTCCTACCCCTTTAGCAAAAATCCCTTCTTGGTTTTATAATGGCCTGAGTGCCGTATCTTCTCAGTTGATCTCCAGAGTTCTTACAGAGGTATTCTGGTTCATATATTGCTGTTAACTCAATGTCTGTGTGGCAGAAGGAAGACCTGTAGCTTCCTGGTCAGCCATGTTTCTTACATCACTCTGTAATATACAGTTTTATATCCTGATATTTTTTCTTTCATATAGTGTCATGTAAGGTTCCAGAAGTATTCTATCTTACTTACTTAGCCTAACACTTAAAACTGAACCATTTTTTGAATAATAATACATTTTTAGCAAAAATGTAGAAACTGGGAATGTAAATCCCCCTTCAAAACTTTTTGTATGCCTGTTTCAGAGTCTAAGCTTTTTACTTTGGTTCTCTTAATCAGTATGTCAGATCATTTCTCACCAGGGCTATCCTGTTTTACTGTTGCTACTTGGTAAAATACATTAATAGATGGCACCACAATCTTTTTCCATACACCCTTCCATTTTATTTCTCATTTCCCAGAAGACTAATAACAATAAATGCAAATAACACACATTCATCCTTTACTAAATACCAGATTTTGTACTAAGTAATGACATAGTAGTAGCTAACTTACTTACCATGCTTATTGGGCCACAGGCATTTCTCCAGGTGTTTTATATATATTTTCATATATTAACTCAATTGTCACAATTATCTTATGAGGCAAAACTGTGACTATTTTGAATGTAAGAGGAAAAAAAATAAGGTGAGTCACCATGAAGTCAAAGTTACTTTCCCTGGACCATAGAATTTAGCACCACAATTCAAATATTGATTAATCTGACCTCAGATCCTATGCCCCAAACCAATAATGTGTGACTCCATGTTAGGGCTGAAATGAGCACTGGGACAGGACTCAAAAAGTCCAGTGGGCAATGATGGGTGTTGTGTCTGGGAACAACATGCCCTGAGCTCCAGCCTTCTGTCCAAGAGACTCATCACTGCATACTGTTCCCCTGTACCATCTCTCCTTTCTCTGTCTGTGTGGGAACTATTTCTCTGTGTGGGAACTGTTTGGCTTGAAGATGAAGTAACAGACAAGTTATACATGGAGAGAAAGGAAGGTTTCCAGAGAGGTGCATATTGCCAGGATGAATTCAGGTCCTCAGAGGCTTTTTCCAGTTGTGTTTCATTTTCTTACCAATGATCACCCTCACCTTTCTGGCCCATACATCCATCCCTTGGCTTTTTTGCTCTGCATGTAGGGTATCCATGTCCCTTACTTCCCATCTGCCCTTGATTCCAGGGACAATCATTTCTACCCCCTCTTCTGTCAATATCAACCACTCTCTGGTCCCATTGTTTTTCTGTGTCAAAGAGCCTGTTAAAGCACAGCCATATAATTATAAGCATATATTCCAGCAGAGAATATTTTGTATGATAAAGTTTAAAAGTGAAATGTCTGGGTCAAAGTGTAAGAATGACTTTTGAATGGTTGAGCATACTCTAGGAAATCAGACTCTCCTGCACTATTAGTGGAGAAGTATATTGGTGTAAATATCTGTAGGAAATTGTCTCTTATAATTTAAGATATTTATGTGCTTCTTCTAGGAAGCTGTAGAACATGGACTCAAATCTTGGAACCACCCTAAATCCCAAGCCATGCTACACTGGGTTATTTGGCCTCCACCATTAGGAATACCTTGTATACAGAAATCTAAGACTTTAAATTTGAAAATCAATTCAAATGTTAAAATGACAAGATTTAAAAAAAACAAGAAGGAAAAATTGGCCATATATAATGCATAGTACATGAAAAGAAAATGTACATTAGGGTCCAGTTTTCTGTGGCAATGCATTTTCCAACATGATATGAAATATATGTATGTGTAATCTAATTATGCAAATTTAAAACAGATAATATTAACACATGCCCATGTACACGCACGCGTGCACACACACACACACATTCTTACTTTTCTCTGAGACAAGGACGATAATGGTACCAAAAGGCTTAACACACACAGACATGAATGTAGGTCCAGAACAATCATACTACACATACCACATACTCAGGAAGCTATCTGTGCTGGATTTAAGGGTAACGTCTCCTCATTTCTGTCACCAGTTACAAAACCCTCACTTCCTAAGAAAATCAGTAGTTTTAGCATTAATCAAGAGGGGGGTAATTAGCTCTATTTCTAACTGTACACTAATGAAAAAATACTAATTCTGCATAAGAAAAGTTCAAAAGATGTTAGTTATACAAAAAGGTTATGAAACAGTTCTGCAGCCCATTTTTTATGGAATAAATAGATGTGGGTAGAAATGGTTGAGATGTATGGATTCTCCAAAGTGGCTTTCTTGATCCCAAATTGTTGTCTACATTCATTTAACAAATACTAATTAAGCCCCATTATATACCAGACACTGACAGCTCAAAGTGACTTCTAATCTGTAAAAACTGTGATCTAAAAAAGATTTGTCCATTTAGTTCAAGACAGATATCTCCACTTGTTCCAAGGCACCTGGACACTCCCCCTCCCAAACCCCAAGCAAGAGCTACTAGACCCTATTCACAAAACATCATCCCTTGTCTGCTCAAAGACATCTATCCTTGAGGCCCAAAAGTTCACCATTAAATTAGAACCAGCATAGTAGCTAGAGGAATACTTAGGATGCCGACCAAATACTTAGGAGGCAGACCAAAATGTGAGGATACAATCTCTGTTCTGACACTAACTTGACTGAGAAATCCTGGGAAATGGACTTAATTCCTGTGAGCCTAACATTTGTGGTCTGAGAAGGAATTGTAGATACAGTCATCATGGGGTTTCTGAGAGGAGGTCAAAGAAATCTAATGAGTCTGCCCAACACTGAGCAAATGTTGGCTGCCTCAGGGCAAGTTTTGATTTACTTCTCATCCTGTTCTTTACATACTATAGCAGGGATGCCATTGCCATGTACTCAGAGGCCTAGCAATGATGTAGGCAGAATTCCAAACTGACACAGGAAGTAGCCATGTGAATACATATGATGTCATAAATGATACTCGCGACCATTTCTCCATGGGAGGGAGGATCAGTTGGTGCTTGGTGGAGCTTGAGGGGTAACTCAGGCAGCCTGGGTGAGAGCTACCAGGTGATTTGTGATACTCCTGTTATTGCCTTTGATTCTCACAGAGCGACGGCAAGACAGGGATCGTGTTGAGATGAAAACCTTCAGTAAGTGGATATGCGCGTGCACACACGTGTGTGTACACGTGGTCCCTCTGGCTTTTTAATCACGTGCCCACTCTCCTGTGAGATTCCCAAAACAAGGCTATGCCCGAGATTGCTCTGGTATGAATCACCTTGATGAGGGAGGCCTCTGTCCCTGTTTAGGCACCCAACTTAACTGGTCAGTCTGGGGATTGCTGTAGCTATTAGCTAGCTCACTTTTACACTTTCCCATTGTTGATGTTATTTCTGAAGTAATGTCACTTCTCAAAAATGACTCTGATGCCCCCATACACCATACGTTGACCACAGGCCCTTATTCCTCCTTTTAATATTTAAGTTTTTCCTTTAATTGGTGGATTTTCAGGAAAACCGGTTGGTTTCCTGCCATTCTCCAAGTGTCATCAATAAGGTTCCTCTTTGTTGTTGTTATTGTTTAGTATCATTATGAACTCATGGTCTTTTAACATGTTGATGACA